GGTCTAGTGGGGTGTCCTGGAATTAATCACCTGCAGAAACTGAGGTGAGACACTGCATATGAATTATTTTTAGTGTTTAGGGGACAAATAAGAGGCAAAGAATTAAAATGTGCTTATTCCTAACTTCAGTAAATATACTGGTGTAAATAAAATCTAAACTGCCCGGGGTCAAATGTGACAAACACATCCTAAAAAGGTACTGATGCGCTCCTTCCCTCCCCAACCCCCACCCTCAGTATCAGTGAGTCATGCTAACTCATTGTTGTGTAAGGGGAAAAAAATCAATAAATATAGTCATAAACATAAAGGTCATCTATCCATATATATACTTTTCTACCTTGTTATTTTTTCCCATCTGCCTCTTTTATTTTTTAACATAAAAAGTATTTTATTGTATTCAATATATATCACAAAGTGTTGTCATTTCAAATATTTGGATTTTCTCAAAACCATTTTATTCAGAGTTAATAGAGCTATCATAGAATTCCATAAAATTAGGGGCTCGTGCAATTCCCATCACAATCCATACATACATCCATTGTGTCAAGCACATACGTACATTTGCTGCCATCATCATTCTCAAAACACTTGCCTTCCACCTGAGCCCTTAATATCGGCTGCTCAGTTTCACAGTTCTTAATGAAGCTTCGTCTAATGAGGCCTATTTACACTCTCAGAAATGTTTGTAAGATCTCCAGTATGAAGCTCTTTGCAGCCATCCTAAAATGACTCTTATTTAACACCGAACATAGTTCCTAAGGCTTTCTTGAGAGAACTAGTGATTCTTTGACATGTTATCCTTTCTTGTCAAAGAAATAAGCCTCAAATAAAATTTATCTTCAACTTGAATGAAAGAGGTATAATGATCAAGAAATTATCTTCTGTGTATTAAGCAATCATCTCCAGTGACATGATTTCTATATATTATTTATTAGGGACTGGGAGGTTGATTTTCCACTCAGAGCAAGTCCCTGTGATAGAGCAGAATGCCCCAGAGGGCTTTCCCTACTGTGATCTTTATGAGAACAGACCAAGTCTTTTTCTTGAACCAACCCTCTGAGCAGCCAAGCATTTAACTACTACACCACTGGTGCGCCTTTAGTCTGACAGAACTGAAAATTAAAAGTCCACTCACATCTCTCTTACGTTGATCCTTTTTCAACTGAGCAATCTCTCTGTTTCTTCTAGACTCTGTCAATCTCGCCTTCTCTTGTTCTTCCTTCATCTGTTTCATGAGGCGAACCTAAAAATCAGGCACACAAATCTCTTGAAGTTATTCTACCAGAGTACTTACTAAATAAGTAACAAATATGGAATTAAATTCTTAGATCCTGAATACTTCACATGCCAATATGAGTTTTGCTGCACACTTTTAATTACGCCGTTCTTATTTTTGCAGATCTATTACAGAAGCTTTATATCTATCCAACTGCTCTGTGTTCTGTGTATGCTTTTTTAATAGGCAATGCTTGATTATCCACAATTTAAATGAATGTTTTTTTATTAACAGAAGCTATGTGATCTTGAATGAGCAACTTAACCTCTCTTGACCTTGGTTTTCTCCTCTATGAAATGGAGATGATAGCTCTGTTGAATTGCCTTACTCAGAAGATTCAATGACTTAATGTCTGGAGAGGACTTATAAAAGTGCTTGGCCCATAGCAAGCACCAAACAGATGTTATTTCCTAAATTCTTTCCATATTTGCTGTTTGAGAAAACTGCATTGATTTTCATGTCAATTGTAAAAGAGTAATTGATCTCACAATAACAACAAGGTGCATAATAATGATCAACTCTAAATTCTGGATAATTCCCCTTGAGAAAAGGGAAATAAGGTCATGAAAAGATGCACAAGTGCATCGGCAATCTGTAATTTATTAAATTCAATAGTACAATTGAGTAGTATTCATTCTGCTATTATCCATGTACTTCTCTAGTTCTGAAATATTTTGTAGTTTTGATAATCTTATACAAATGTTTGAGGAGAAATACCCATTAATGACAGAGAAGTCCTGATGACCATATTATTTTCAGCTACTCGGATGAAAGGCTTTGATGAGAGATGACTCAAGAAAACAATTTCTAATTGCCTAAGGGAAGTGCATCATTTATAGGGAAAAAAAGACCAGGTTACCTTTTATTGAATATGGGGAGAACCATGATAATTGGTGGCTCTTGTCCCAAATGACACAAACATCCTCCTCTTTAAACGTGAATGGAAAATGTAATCCATACCTTTGTCTTTTTCATTTCCATCACATCCTGCTGTAATTTTTTCAATTGCTTCTCATATTGGGACTGGTTTTTCAGCAACCTTGCGTGCTCTTTTTGGGCAGTCTGAAGTCTCTGCAGTTCTTTATTCATGGCTTGAAGCTTCTTTTCATATTCAGACTTAACTTTTTTTGCTTTTTCTTCTGAGTAAGATTCCACGGAGCCTAAATGACCAAAATAGTTTTGCTTGGCTTTGTATGAGGCATGGAATTTTATTTTACAGGTATTGAACGAAGGCCTTAGAGAAGTGTGACCTACCAAACACAGAACTCGGGAGACCAGTGTGCTGCTCAACCACTATGTCTTTTATTACCAACTCTTATCTGGCTTAATGATTATTGAAGTGGTCTTTTTCATTTGTGTTGGGAAAAAAATGGCGTAAGCACAAATCAAATACTTTTAAAATAACCACAGCATTGGCCTAAATACTATACAACTACCAGTCTGAAATATGAAGGATAGTATTTAAAATAGTGGGGCAAATTAACATTTCATTTCTATCACATTAGTTTCACGATTAGCCAAAAAAACTCAAGGACATTAGGTCTAGGTTGTTTGTGTGTGTGTGTGTGTGTGTGTGTGTGTGACTGACTTCTGGCATTTTTTATTCTAAAGGAAAAGAAAACAAAAAACATGGCAATTTAGTTTGAATTTCATTTGAATTAAATACATTTCTTACCTAAGTTTTGAAGCACCTGGTCTCTTTCAAGCTGAGTGTCCCTAATTTTATGTTGCAGCATCATTAGCTTCTCTTCATACTGCTTTTTCAGCGTCTGCAGTCTCTTCTGGCTGTTTTCTAGTTCATCGATCAGCTTTTGCTTGATTGCAATTTCACAAGTAATGTTTGCTAAGTCCGCTTGATAATTGGCTATTTATAAAAGAAGAAAATAAAAAATATTGAGACTAGGCCAAAAGATCATAATTTTAGCTTTCAGGCAAAAGCCTGAAAACCATCAACTATAACCAGAAATGCAGTTGGCAGCTATAAGAAAAATGTCCTGGAAAATCACAAATTAAAAGGGTGAGCAAGATAAAGACTACCCATATTATCAGGAACAGCAGATCCTAACTGTACTACTTAAGAATTGAAATTATAGAAAATTAATCAATCCAGTAAGGGCAGAAAGGCTTCATATGCTTAACACATTAGCCTTACAGGGCACATGTAAATTCAGAGTCATGAAAGCTATTTTCCATATGGCCTAGCAATTCTACTACTATGTGCAGATTCAAAACCCTTGGGGAAAAAGACTCAACAGTCAGCATTTAGAAACCGCCAGCCTCTTGGGAGAAAGCTGAGGTGTTCCACTACGGTACACTCTCAGACACAGAGGGGCAGTTCTTGTCTGCTCTACAGGGTCGTGATGAGTCAGATCGACTTAATGGCACTGGGTTTGATTCTTGGATTCCTGTTTATTGCAGAGAAGCTTGATGGCATAATGGCATAGTGCTTTGGTCTACTAACCCCGAGGTCAGCAGTTCTAACCCATCAAGATGAGGCTATCTTGATTTATTTACAAAAATTTATAGCACAAAAGCACAGAGGCAGTTCTACTCTGTCTTATAAGCTTACTATGGGTCAGAATTTATTTGATGGCAATGAGGTTTTTTGAGCATATTCATTACAGCTCTATTCATAATAGCCAAAAAGTGGAAATAATCTCCATGACCATCAACAGATAAATGAATAAATAAAATATGGTGCATCCATACAATGGAATACTATACAGCTAAAAAGAGAAACAAAACCTTCATACATAGTACAATCTAGATGAAGTTGAAAGGCATTATGCTGAGTGAAATAAATCAATCATGAAAGGACAAATACCATATGAGTTCATTTATATAAAAAGATAAGAACAGGCGAATGTATAGAAATCAAAGGGTCTTAATGGCTGAGAGAGGAGGGCAGTGGAGTTCAGTTTACAGTAATGGAAAAATTGCATTGATTAAAGACAGGGTTGCCAAGTGATTAAGGTTCATTGTTGTCAATAAGGTAAAACGCTGGATTGTGTGATGGACCTATTTACAACAAAAGTAGCTGCCGAGGCTGCTTATGGAAAACCAAACACCTCATGGTTCCTAGGTTTTGAAGCTTAGGGTCATGATTTCATGGGACATCCCAGTTAACTGACCGAATAACATGTTCAGTGCTTGGTTCCACCTCCTCATTTGTTGCATAGTGCCCGAGGTCTTAGGAGCTCACACACAGCCATGCGAGGAGCAGTGAGACCTGGGAGAGCAGTGACAGACAGCGTCTGCCTTGTTTTGCTGGGGCTGGGAAGCTTTCCATGACATGCTGGAACTGCCGTATTTTCCGTCTAGGAAGTTTTCCACTCTTCACAGGGTTCAGCCTTACTAATCTTCTAGTGTTATCTATTAGTGGAAAACATTTGGGTTTTCTTTTTCAGGCAAGTTTCTGCTATATATGAGTTAGCTTTTGCAGATTTTACTGTATATGATTGATCTCTCTTGACCAGAAGCAATTGAGGAAGAAGGGAGAGTCAAGACTAGGAGGAAGTGATTGCATAACTAATTGTTTTCCTGGATAACTACATCCTTTCCTATAAGAGCAGAAGGACGGGATGGTATCCAGCTACCATTACTGGACATTTTGAACAAAGATTCTATAGAAGAATCCTGATCCAAAGAAAGGAAACACAGGACGAAATTTCCTAATCTCATTGACTCCGGACTTGAGGTGCTGGATGAATTCCTGAAATGATTGCTTTATCCAAAAATCTTTAACCATAAGTCAAAAATATTTCTGGAGCCCTCTTCAAGCCAAACTGCAGTTTAGCTTTCATTAAAAAATGTCTGCCTTGAGCACTGTGCACTGTTAAGGTCTATCTATAAACATATGTGCATGAATTACTGAATGCAAAACTGGTACTCTGCTCTATAAATCAATCATGAAAGGACAAATATCATATGAGCTCCCATTCACAATTAAGAAGTTTTAAAATAAAAGGCATATCTATATGGGATCAAATTGACCCAACAACTTGAAGGTACAGGTAAGAAACGTAAGGAGCAGTAGTTTATGTTAATAGGGAATGAACAATTCCAAAAACAAGGGAGTGAGTGGTGCACAACTCATAGAATGTACGCATGTTACTTAATTGTACATGTAGAAATTGTTGACTTGATGTACATTTGGCTGAGTATAACCTCAAGAACAAATCATTTTGGTTTGTTTAAGAAACAAATTAAGAAATCATTCTTAAAGTTACTTTTCACAAGGAAAAAAGCAGAATATCAAATATTTTTGTCATAATTTAAACAAGTTCCCGCAAAGATTTTATGTAGGAAGTGGCAAGCACCTTTTTCATCTGATTCAGAATCTGATTCATCAGAGCTTTCACCCCCTTCAATATCATCTTCCTCCTCCTCCTCCTCCTCATCCTCCTCCTCATGATCGCTTACTTCTTGACTTTCTTCCTAAAACACAAGTTGTGAAAATAAGACAATATTAACAGAGGAAATGCATTACCTCATAAAAGGGACTGTTAAAATACCAAAGAACAAAAATTTAACCTTTACTCAATTAAAACTCTCTTTAGGATTTTAAAGTTTTTGAATAGTAATTTTGTCTTAACTCAAATACTACTTGTTATGTCTCATAATCTCTATCATTTTCCCCTCACCCCCACCAAATAGTTTCACAGTACACAAGCTTGAGAGTTGCCAATATTTTATTGCTCACGTTTCAGAAGAAAAGGAACACTCGTGGCAAGTTTACATTATGTGAATGAGAACTACTTCCCTTTCCTACCTTTATATCCGGTTACTTGCACCCAAGAGCAACTTAACCCAGTGACTAACTTTTACACTTACCACTTCTAGTTCATTGTCTCCTCTTTCTGAAATGCCTTTTTCTTCTTTCTTCTCTTGATCAGTGTCAGTATGATCCTCTTTCCCGGTCCCACTAAAGAAAGAAACATAAGCATACAGTGTTAACGTAGGGAGGGAAAGTGTTCACTGGCCCCATCCCCCCAGAGTTTTAAACAATGTCAAGTGCTTATAAAACAAACAAGTTGCTTGTCTGATTTAACATATTTATAATATCTTATGCTTCAGAGGAACATAGAATTCGTCATTCAATGAATTGTATGGTGTTTTTCTCATGGGGAAAGCTTATTTTCTAGAAACACTGAGCAATAGTTTATACCCTGAAGCATGAGACCTGCTGAAACAGCTAAACTGAGTCATAGCAATTGCCTACAACCAAAAGCAATCTAAATTCAAAGGGGGAAAACAATCTAAACAAAGAAAGCATTTTTGTTTCTAATCTAAATACATCAAAATGTTCTCACCTAAACACAAAAAGATAAAGATCGCATTGTTATTGATATCCAAATAAATTTTAAGAATAGCTATACATAAAAATCCAAAATAAAGCTGCCCCCCAAATGTGCCTACACTGGCTAAAGCCCTAAGACTACCCAGCGCTCTTTCCAGTAGTAGCACAGGCCCCTTTTCCTAGACCACCCCGACAGTAAAGGACGAGACCCTTTCACAGTCACAGAAAGCAGACCCTGGCATTCCAAAACTGGATTCGACCAGTAAGAAATTCCAGGGCCTACACGAAGAGTCCCTGTACAACCGGAAGCATTCTCAGGGGTCACCTAGGACCACAGCATACCTACACAAAGGTGTCCAGTAAAGGTCACAGCTGACTCATGGGGGCCCTGACCTGTCTCTAAAGTGAGCAATTTTTGCACATTTTGATCACATTGATCTTTTGGGGGTTTAAAAATCATGATCAACTATATATAAAACTTATGTTCACTACAATTATACATTTAATCAAGTTAAATGGATTTAGGAAAACATACTCTAAATGAATCTACATATAAAAGTAGCTTTATGTGTATGTTACAACTTTATTAATCTTTTTTAAAATTTTCAGAATTTTAAAATTCAGAATATGCAAGTGAGGAAATATTCTCCAAATAGAATTCTCTAAGCAAGAGCTTTATTAAAAGAGATTCATAACAGCAACCATTCATTTCAGACACTCTGCTACATTAAATAGTTGTTCTAACACTGAGCTTATTTTCAGCTTCTAGGCTAAAATTTTTATTTTATTTTTTCTGTTTATGTATAAAAATTCTAGTGATTTTGTACAACCTTTGGAAAAACTAAAATACTGATGTTCAAAGTAATACCTACTTTTAAATGTGAAGAAAGTATACAAGGATATGATCTTAATAACCTCAAACTCACTGCCATCCGGCTGATCCTGACTCCTAGCAACCCAATCGGACAGGGTAAAACTGCCTCTGAGGGTCCAAGACCGTAACTCTTGAAGGGAGTAGAAAGCCCCCGCTTTCTCCCTCAGTGGTTTTAACTGCTAACGTTGTGGCTAGAAGCCCCCACGTAACCACGACACCCCCAGAGGTAGGTAATACCTCCTGAGAAAGTCAAGCTCAAGAGTTAAAGGGGAGCCCTAGTGGCACAGCGGTTACACGTGAGGCTGCTCACAGCAAGGTCAGCAGTTTGAAACCACCAGCCACTCCGAGGAGAACAATGAGGCTTTGTACACCATACAGAGTTACAGTCTCGGAAACCCACAAGGGCCTTTGCACCCTGTCCTGTCAGGTCGCTGTGAGTCAGAATTGATTCTTTTTGGCAGTGAGTGAGAACAAAAGTAAGTATCACTTGGCTAGGCTATATCTTAGTACGTTTCGAAGAGCAAACATTGTAAGTTCTCTAGGGAAGAGAGAAGAGGAGAGCGTCAGAGCTCTTTTGTTTGTGATTGTTTTACTCCTGGATTGTTCAGCTTACAAAATTAGCGTGACTGTAACCACAAAGGTGATATTAAAGAAAATAAAAGCCTCAGCAGTACACCTACTTTGGAGGAATTTTGCAAAGAATCATCTGTTGGTTTAAAAAGAAAACAAAAACTTGGTATCTTATAAAACCCTACAAATGTGAGGCACTGTGACACTGATAAAACAATAGTAAGTGAGATTTCTCTACCTTCTGTCAAATACAAATGCAAGAACTCTTTAGACACCTACGCTTACAGAGAGTTGAAATTGCAATCATCCCATTAGAAAGCTAGCACGATGCACTCAAATACTTTAGCTCTCAGCATAAGGGTTAAGGCTAGGAACAGGCAGGCTTTAGGTAACCAGAAATTTAAAAGGCGAGCTGCCCTTCTAGAACACAGTCCCTCTGGCTCCCTCCTTCCCACTGTTAGTGCTTTCTGTTCCTCTCCTATAGCAGGGAGTTTTCTGTCTTGCTGGTTCTTTTGTTATTCAAGCCCCAACTTTGTGGTTCCTTTGTGGCTTCAAATCCTCTTTGCCTCAAGTTTATACACACAACTAGTTTATCCTGAATATTTGATCCAGGCCACCACCCTGCTCCTTCCAAGTCACCAATATCCAACTTATCAAATGATCCCTGTCACTTATATATTGAGTTAACTGATAATGTTTAAGTTTTTCATGCTACTTTCTAAAGCAAAAATCACCCATTTTAGATTTACACTATTCATTTCACTTTACAAATCACTTTTAGAATGCATGACTTCAAAATATATGTGGACTTAATACTTATTGTACAGGCAGCCACTGAATTGGTATGAGCCCCATTCCTAATCTGTTAATTATGACTTTGTACATAACTTGAAACAGGTATGGCCATTTCTAATGCCAATTAGTAAAATGTTTTCTAAGGATATAGCATACTTTCCTATGCACTGAAAACACCTTATAGAAACACTTCCAAATACAGTGAAAACACCTTAAATGTCATAATACAGTAACAATAATATTGTTTTGATGCGTGTCACAAAATAGTGACCATTTGTTCCCATGAACCATTGTGCTGAACATTTGATAGAATAGGCTTTATGGGGTTGATTCACAAATGTGAATTGTACATAAATCAGGAGTTCTGGCTTTCCCAAACCCAGAGACTACCTGTACCTTAAATATTTAAGTTTTTCTCAGCAATCTAAGACAAGCTGATATCTAAAACAACTACATAAGCAGCAAAGGAAGATAATAAGCTCGTACTTTAATACATACATAGAACCAGAATCTTGGAGCCAGAAAGAGCGTATCAATCATGAGGCTTAACCCTTTCATCTGACAACAAAAAAGGAAACTGTGGCCTAGGGAAGTTAACAGACTCAAGTGGACTGGAGCCAGGTGTGCTGACCCCTAGGCCAGTATTCCAGGAGCTGCAGCCTAAGTTCTGTTCATAGTCTGGGAAGCCTGTGCTCTGCCCAGGAGCTTGTTAGAAATGCAGAATCTCGGACTCCATCTCATTCCTACTGACTCACCACACTGACCCTCATAAACTCCCAAGGTGATTTGTAGGCACACATACAACTAAGAAGCATTGTTTGAGGATAGCAAACTACCATATACTATATTCCATTTATTAAGTAACCTAAAAGACTTGAATATTTTAAGGTGTAAAAATACTTTCAGATACTACTTTAACTATGACTAGATTGATGTTTCAAAACAGAATAAATATTATTATTTTAATGTGTTAATATAATCTGAAGGATAAACATAATTCCCCAAAGGTCAACGTGGGCCGTGTTGACAGTGAGATGACAGTGGAGCTTGTGAGAGCTGGATCTCGAGGGGCCCCTCGTGTTTTTCCAAGTCTCACCAGTATTCCAGCTTGGCCAGAGGGCCCTCTTACCGCCGGTGTACTGCTCATTTTAGTAGGGAAGATTAGGGTTTTCCTTCTCTAAGAAGTTTCTGCTTCACATAGTTTCCAGTTTTTACAGGTTTTACTGTATAATCTCAATATAGAATACTTCAGGGAAATTGTATTATATAATTATAGAAACTCAGCATACTATATAATGTATACAAAATAATTATGGAATAGAAATTATAGAATAGTTTAAAGAAAATATAACTACATTTTCAGATACTTAAAGTACAATATTAATATACTTTATTGTGGACTTGTAAATGTTCTCAAAAGTTTACTGTAAGTAAAAAAATGTAATTTCTAAAATGGTACTTCATTTTTTCCCTCTTGATTATCTCATCTATAGAATTTGGATATTTGTTTAGAAAAATATATGAAAGAGACTTCTGTTATGAGGAAGTAAAATGATCATTGTTCCTTACTTAATTAACTACAGATGCAAATTGTTAAAATACAGATATTTACTTATGGAGAATTCAGAAATATGTTCCTAAATACTACTCAAATTTCAAGTGCTAAAAGAGAGAGAGAGAATATCTTGATTGTTTAAGAGTAAAAGTTGTTTTTCTAGTCCAACCTTGAGAATGCCTGGTGAAACATATTCCTCCTACGGCCATCGTTTCTCTCCCTTTGTTGGCATTTATGTTGTTTTCCAATAAAGATCAGACCAAATGTGGAAGAGGAAAGGAAGGAAGGCCACATGACATTGCAGGTGCTATCACAAAATGCCAATTCCCACCCATGTAATACTCCTCACTCTGCTCGCAAGTTTCTGAAGATACAGAAGTATTGAGTTTTGTTCTAACAAGTCAAAATGTTCAGCTTAAAAAAGTTAAGTCACCACCAAAATTATGAGGACTTAGTTTGAAAGTACATGAAATTACCTGAACTTTAATTCATATAACTAGTGAGGGTTTTATTCTTTGAAAGCAAAGTTTTATTTTCCAGTTATTTTTATCCTTAAAATAGTCATTCCTTTTAGGAGCACCCAGCTCATCTAATCTGAAACAATCTATAATTCTAGAACACATTTCTTTGTGAATGGCAACTTAGTATTTAAATGACATTTTAATTAAAAACCTGGAAAATATTCCAACCTTCTTTCTTCTCGATTGCTTTCCTCAAGTTTCTGTAGCCTTCAAAATCACGAGGCACAGTATTGGAAGGCCAAGCCAATGAAGGACAAACCAGACAGTAAAAAGCGAAAGTGATAAGAAGGTAAAAATGACACATGAGCTTGAAGACTTTAAAATAAATTTTAAAAGATATTATTAAAGGACAATGCACAGTAAAAAGGCAATACATTTTGTATGAGTAAAAAAGTAAGTAGAAAAACAAGCAGCTTGTATCTAAGAAGAGTAGAGAGACTATCAGTTCAAATTAATCAGCAATAAACTGTACAGCTGTTCAGATGTTGTTGCTTTTTAAAAATTCTGAAATAGATCAATTACCTTGGCATCCCCTCTCCCACCAAGACACCCACTTTCCATGATGGCCTCGCCCTCTAAAGCCGTTACAAAAGCTGTTTCAGTGGCATCATTTAAAACGCATCAAAAAAGTAATGCCTATATATGATAATATGATAGCACCATTAACACTACAAATTTGGACACTACTTTTAACTTTTAATTTTCTGTTTCAATATACCACATATAAACATCATTAAATCTAAAGAAAATCCTACTTCAAAATTATAGATGGAATTATATTATGAAAATGAAAGTGGTTGTTATGGTATCAGTGAAAAACTATAATTTCTTTATTGAAAAAAACTCATAATATTGGGATTAAATAATTTAGTGTTCTAATTACTACAAGCTAGTTAGCAAAAGGGCATAACTAAGGCAAAGATGGCAATAAAAGGAGAAATGTAGTACTTTCCATTAGTAGACTATTTTTAATCAGAAAATAAGGCAATAAATATGCAGATTGGGCCTTTGAAATATATTTTAAAGGATATTTTATACACAAACTGGGGGACCTTTACTCAATGGAATGTACTGAATACCAATATTTGCCATGTAGATATGCTAGGTTCTGATTAAGCAAAATAGCAATTATACTATAGCATGCTTCTTAGAATTCCAAAATCCTCAATGAATGATCAATATTTTTAAATGAATAGATTGCTTCTATAATATTTTATCAAGTTTTTTTTTTCATTTCCACTTTATAACATCTGTGTTCACATGAAATTTTTGTTGTTTGCTGGTCTGTGGGGGTTTTTTTCCAATCAGTTTATATGTTACTACTATAAGAAGAAATTTAGCAATTGCTCTGAGAAAGAAGTGTATAAAATGATATTAATCAGCGGTCAAAATGTCTATCATAGTAGCTTGAAAAAGAAGGGTAAAGTTATCAGGTAAGAAATCTGTATTGTAATAAGAGTTATATGAGCCCCCAATAAAATGATAATTAAAAAAAAAGAAATCTGTATATTTCTAAAGTTTCAACCCAACACCTCTAAATACCAATATAGTACAGTCTGAGGGATGAGTAAAGTTTGTTTTATATTTCAAGTCATTTAAAGCTAGATATCCAAAAAATATATTTGATGTGTAAGTTTTCTTTATCTATATAAACATTCCCCAAAATACATTTTTTTGGTCTAATCCAGGTGTATGTCATAAGAATGATTTATAATGAATGGCTCAAAGGTTCCATGGTGAAGAACCTAAATTTTCCATTTTTGATAAGAATTTTTGCTTATTCTACATAATATGTATGGATGACATAAGTTGAAAATTAATGAAAACTTTAGATGCCCCCTTGTCTCTTTAATAATTATTGCAATCTATTTTTCAAAAAGAAGAGATAGAGAAATAAACTAATATTCTGACAACTTAGGGGAATAGAGTTTTGTTTCATTTATTTCTATCACAATTCTACTTCTATATAAAAAAAGAGAATATGTCAAATCTTGAAAATTATCTTTATGTATGTGTAATTGATAAATAGCAATGGAATCATTTTAGTCATTCAGAGGCAGATAATCAGGTTAATAAACCACAAAACCAAATTCATTGCTATCTAGTTAATGTTGATCCATAGTGACCCTACAGGAAAGGGCAGTACTCTTTGCAGAAGCAGAAAACCTGGTGGAGTGGTTGGTGGTTTCTGAACTGCTGACCTTGTAGTTAGCTGCCCAATGCATAACCACTATGCTGCCAGGGCTCCTAATCTGGTAAACAGGGGACCCATAATCCTTGGTACTCTCTTGTTTTCTTACTATCTACACATTTTGGTTATTTTACTATTCAACAGTAAACAAGTGCACATGATCTGGAAAAAGCAAATTTTAAAACCCTCATATTAGCTCTTATACAGACTAAAAAATGCAAAAGACGTTGAAACTTTCATGTGGAACAAAATTTGTACATTCTCCTTAAACACAAAAGCAGCTTCTGGCCTGCATGTGGCCTACGTTCAACTCTCCCTATCAACTTTCTCAACCGAAACAATAATAATCAACCAAAACACAAAGCAAAGCAAAGTAAAGCTCGCAGAGACGCTCAAGAACTTGTAGATTCAATGGGGGGCAGGAAGCTGCTACAAGAGCTGGGACGTTTTAGGAGCACTAGAGCCCCAGATGGAAGCCCCAGGTAAATTTCAGAAGCTCGCAGTCTAAAGAAAACGGGACATATTTTCCCTGCATTGTTTGCTGTCTCATGGTCACTGCTTGGTTGCTTGGTCAGTTGGCTGTTTCCTTCTTCAATTGGCTATACTATCTACAATTTGGTCATTTGAATTGCTGGCATCTTTTTTCAAAATTATAAACATCCTAGAAAGGATATTTCCTCCCTAGCAGTCCTTCCCACTGGTATGAATTCTTTTCATCAAAAGGTTTTGACTTTGAGTTAAAATTTAAGGAACTGAGCAAAGAAAATAGGCAATTTTGATAGGGAGCAGAAGCACCTGAGATGTGGATAGCAGAGGGCTCCAGGCACCACGGGCACAAATCCACAAAAGACAGGATAAAAATAATGCCCAACACAAAAATTCAGCGTTTCCCCAAAGTCAAGCCTACATCTGTGCAACTTCCTTCTGCATTGCTCTTACCCTATTGTACAGTGAGTAAAATTTATTTAATGTGAACAAGACAAGATACCTGGCAAGTAGGCCTTTATGACATTTTACAGAAAAGGAAAACCAAAAAAACCAACTAAGCTCAAGTTCCAAACAAGTACATTGTAATTGAATTTTTTGGCTGTCTAAGGTTGAGGCAGAACCCAAGTTAAAAAATAAATCTATGTGAGACGTAAAATACGTCTTAACCAAAGACAATCCAGCCAAATGAAAGCTGGATTTCTTAAGGAGTTCCTGAGGAAGATTAAGCAGGGAATTTAGGAACGCCACTATCATTCTACCGATTTCTGGAACTCGTTGTGTATCCGTTTTTGTTGTTTCAACTTGTAGATAAGCATTTGGTAAAGTGATAACGTGTCTAGATTTATGAAAGGAATGTATACTAAGTACAAACCCGTTGCTGTCAAGTTTGGTTCAGCTCAGAGACTCCATTCGAGAGAGTAGAATTGCCCCCCTAGCGTTTGCCAAGGCTGCAATCTGTACCAGGAGCAACTCGTGCATTTGAATCATTCGGTTAGGAGTCGAGCTTTGAATCACGGTACCAACATGGATCCTTGGACTGTGCATTAGCTTGAACTAAAAGTCACAAGGATCGAAGGTGAGGAATAAAATGTCTTAGCAAGCAGAGTAAAATAGTATTGGTTTTCATTTTTAATCCAAAATGGCATTTTTACTGGAGTGTGACTTCACTACACTTTACTAGAATCTGGAAGTTCCATTAAATTCTACAAATTTATGGAGTAGTCATAAACATATAAGCTGAATCCAAAGTTTTAAAATTGTCATGTTTATCATATACAAGCATCTTTTTCTATTTTCGCATCACACTTTATAGGTTTCCCATTTTACAAAGCTTTACTACAGGATGTGAGTAAAGATGCTGCATCTTTTTTATCAAGTACTATGCAAGTGTTATTAGTGTTTAGCAACTATTAGTTTCTTTTTCTGACTCTTGGCTTTCACCTCTCATTTGATTTAGTCTTTCCTCACAAAGTGGTTTTTATAAATTATATCACTTTGTGTTAGGAATTCGCTTTCTTCATTTTTATTTGCAAACCCAATTTTCTGATAAGTTGTTCTTTAGTATTAACATTTACTGTTGTTTTCATCAGATAATTATTACAACTATCACTATTGCTGAAATGGCCAGAATTTTTCACTATGAAGAAACTGCTATTGTAATGTATACAATGGATATATCTATACATTACAATGGTTAAGAAAAAAAACAAGATCTTTTCCTTGATATCATTTATCAGTCAAAAGTGTTTAAAATTCTCAAATCATCCCAAAACAAACAGCATGAGTCAGGTGTATTAATTCGGGATACCTATCCATATCGTTTTAAAAAGGCGCCCAGGTGGGTTTCCAGTTGAGCTGCTAAGTGCACGGAGAGCAGTTACAACCCACTGGCCTCTCCACGAGGCCTCCTGCCCCGATAAAACTGCACCACTTTGGGTGCTCAGGGGCAGGTCTTCTCTGCTCTATGCCAGGGGCACCGTGAGTTGAAATTAGCTGGATGGCAGTGAGTAGAGGGTATCCACCACATGATAAGGAGCCGTGGTGGTACCTCGTAAGCATTGGACTGTTCACTGCCAGGTCAGCCATGTGACCCACTTCCTGCTCTGCAGAAGAAAGACACTCCCATCAAGATCTGCGCTAAATGCGGGCCCTTTGAGGAGGCATCAACTGATGGCTGTGGCTTTTTTTCTTGTTTTTTATCCACATGATAAAAATTTCAAAAAGAGCCCAGCTTTCTATTGGTTTCCCTATTTATTTTTCATTATTTACACCTAACAACTAATTAAATCAACTTTCTTAAACTTTCCTCAAAGACCAAACTTAGCTCATGACCTTGAGAAATATACCTCCTTTTTAGTGCAAAATGAAACCCTAACCCAATCCCATCTAGTCAGTTCTAATTGCTAGTGACCTTGACCATAGATTAGACCCACCCCTTGGGACTGCCGGGTCTCAATCTTTAGAGAAGCGACTGCCAGATATTTCTCCCATGGAGCTGTTAGTGGGTTTCAAACCACTTACTTTTCAACAGCCATGAGCCGTGGGTAAGCACCGGTTAGAAGCAAGGCTTCCCACCCTTGCTTATACTTACTTATTATTCATGAACACAACCACCCAGACCCTGTCAAACAAGCCATACCCCTTGACATTTGACCAACTTGTATTTTATGAGTAAATGTGAAGTCATGCATGAAAGCTTCATGTTCATTCAAGTAGTTTGTTGAGTAACATTAGCTTCAATAACTCCAAGATCATTATTTCTATTTTAATTGCCCTCTAGAAGGGGACAGCTAATTATTACACATTTCTTAATGCTGCCATAACCAGCCATCCATGAAAAACACCTATTAAGACATTAATATCTTAAGAATGCAATTTCTATTGCAATGCCTCCTAACTATAGATGTATAATATCTTGTTTTAATTAATCATTCTTTTAACTCAGGGGCACACAAGGGAGTTCCTTTGAAGAATTTAAACCTCCAATAGCTTTGATCAACTGACGGAGAAATAAATGCCTGGTTGCCCCAATAAATTTCTAAATAAACTGAGCAGAGCAGCAGGTAGACTGTAATTCTTCGAAACAGCAGGCATTCAATGTCAACAGTAATTCTTCAATAACAAAGCACTTGCCAAAAAGAGAGGTCCACCTCCTTTTGAATATCTAGCCGAAAATGCTTTATTTTAATTTGACTAACATGATCAAAATGTAATCTCAGGAAATCATTTGACTGCACCATAGGATCCATGTGTAATACTATAATATTTTTAATGAGTTTTTAAGCTCTCACATATTATAAATAGTCAAATGTTCATGTTCCTACTCTTCTTTGAACGCAGCTGACCTCAGAGGGCGATATTAAGATTCAAAGAAGAGAACGCCTAGAACCGTGGTGAAAAGCTGAGTAACATCATTTGAGATATTGAGAAGGCCTGAAGTAAAATACCCTTCACATAATCAGATTCGAAGCCCGGAAGAAAATATTGAAGAGACCAAACAACGTACTGATGCATTAGTTTAGACTTTGGTTAAACTAATCTAGACATGAATTAGCATCTCCAGGAGACTACTTAATTGCATTAGAAAATGGAAGGAAATGAAAACATTGAGTGTGATGATAAGCAAGCTTTGCAGAAAAGCCAGATGAATGCAGTGCAAAAGCAGCTGCTAAAGCAAATATAAAATAGTATCTAATAGTCATGTTACCTTGTCATACTCTGAATGAAATGCACTAACATATGGCTACAATTAAGTTCATTTTTCTTATACACAAGAAGAGATAAACCATTAAAAATGTAAGTTAAGTGGCATTTCATTTATTAATATATGAGGCTACCTATATTCATAATTTCAAATTAAAATATCCTTAAACTAAGAGAAATAAAGATTTTTATAGCAATGATTTCATAACACTACCTTTTCTTCTTCTTCTTTTCTTTCCTTTTTAGCTTCTCTAAGTCTTTTTTAGCTAGATCTATAACCTCAATCGTCTCCCTGTCTGAGGACAGCATAGCCGGGGAGAAAGCTGACGACCCACTGAAATACGGCGATCTTGCTGTAGCTCTTGTCAGGCTTTTTCGAAGGTTTTCATTCACTGCTTCGCTTTCCAGTAATTTTGCCCTAGTGAATAAAACAGCATTTTAAAAAGAAAAAAATTTTAATAACTTTATTTTTAATTGGGAGTTACTACATATATATCATTCTGTAGTTCAATCACAAAAAACAAATGCTTGAAATGAGTTGTTCTGCATATTACAAAATCTTCCAAAAGGTATTTCAACAATACCACAAAGTAGTTTTGCTTTTGTTTTAATAAATGTACTAAAAATGTTAAAGTTTAAGGCATTTTTAAATTCCTCGTTGAATTATGATGAATCTGATATCACATTTTTTATGTTTAAAAGAATTCTGTATCTTCTATATCTGTCACTGGCAACTCTATTACTTGAATGTTAATCAGTGAGCACCAGTATCCTTGCTCTGTAAAGCCATTATTTAAGCATAAAACATACAAGCACCGTGCTGTCCCTCCTTTCAGTTCTTCATTCATTGACCAATAATAGCATTTCCATAACTTTGCAATGAATAGTTAGTCTAACTTGCCCCTAACTGGCACACAGACATCTGTCTCCTAAATATGGTGTGGGGAAAAATGCTATCTCCAAGGAAACCAGAGTTTGAGAATTGAAAACATTCTTTTGTCTGCCCAAGCAGCCCTAATAATGACAGGAGACTAATGCACGTCCTGCCAGCAATGAGAAAACACGGAACGATGAGCTCCTGAAAGAGCATGGCCTCTGGTGACTGCATGAGACCCTAAGGCCTCTGGGCAGTTTCTCTGCTTCTACTGAATGCAAACCATCAAGAGCACCACCATCTACTTCGATAGAATCGATTCCCAAGGTCACTTTGGCACAATGGTAATTGAGACGAGGCTAAAAGGAGAAACACTACCTGCTATTTTTGCCTCAAAGTTATATTAGTAAGCACTCTCCTTCAGGAATGGATTACTAAGCACTCTGCCATATGATCAGAAAGAAGCAGAAGGCGCTAGAAAATGTGCAACTGCTAAACCCTGAAAGACCTAATCAGCTAGTGTGTTTTCATGACCTATCTGAGATTATTCAGAAAACTGCTGGCACTAACTAGAGGCAGGGTATTAAAAATATTGGTGAATGACTACATGTTTCAAGTCAATGTCTTACACAGTATTTAATGAAATTGTTTTATTATATATCTGGTGTCAGGTGAGAAGAACCACAATTACAGTATTTTAAAATGCTTAAAAAGCTGTATGTAAGTTTTAAGAAAAATTCTGAATAAAACGCTGTGATAAATTTCATTCAATCAATAAGACAACTCAAAGCTCAAGTTTAACTATAATTATTGAACAGTAGAAAAGTGAAAAACAATATACAATTTCCATATTTCCATAATTTAATACAAAGCCCAAGAGTCCTGGCAGCACAGTGATAAATGAACTGGCTGATCATGGAAAGGTCAGCAGTTCGAACCCACCAGCTGCCTCAGGAGAAAGATGTGCTAACATGCTCTCCTTTGAAGCTCTATAGGCCAGGCCTACCCTATCCTGTAGGGTCAATATGAGGCACAGTGAACTGGATGGCACACAATAGCACAAAGCCTGAGCACACAAAATTAAACAGTGACTGTTATGTGTGAATAAAAGTATAATAAATAGGAATGTATTGATTCCAGTAAAAGTATTTTTTTAAAGTATCATAAATAAGCTTAAACAGCAAGGACCTATCTTTTAATTGATTCATTCATATAATAATTTCACAAATTAGGATTTTTTTAATTTCCTTATTTTAAAAGTTTGCATTTGGTATACACTATTGATTGGAAAAATAATTTGCTATGTAAACTTTCACTTAAAGTACAATAATAAAATGTTACAAACTAAATAAATAAGTTTGCATTTGAGAAGGGCACGCTCACTGCTTCTTCAGTCCTGGTGCTTAGAGGCCTTTCAAGGTCCCCTTCTCCTGTTAACCATAAACTCGTTACTGTGCAGTCATTTCCAACTCACAGAGACATCATACGATGGAGTAGAACTGCCTTATAGAGTGGCCTAGGCCGCAACATTAATGGAATAACATGTTCCATCTTTCTACTGTGGCTCAGTTGGTGGGTTTGGACCTCAGACCTTTTCGTTAGCAGTCACATGCTTCACCACTGGCATTACCGGGGCTCCTTGCTCACTTTCACAAAGCTTGCCTTTTTGGTGGGTTTTAGCAACCACACCTCCCTCTTCCTCTCCTTGTCTGTGCTTTCACCCATTCACCCATTTGGGGCCTGCATACCACTTCGTAGGTAACCAAAGTGAGTATGTGTGAGTCAGCCCCACACTAGCTGGACCTTAAGTGATTCGTCTCTAAAGCACTCTACTCTTCGCTCTGTAAGATAGAAATAAAATAGAAATCCTTCCACAGATTGATTAGAGAGTGTTGGGTGGCACAAAAAATCAAGCTCCCAGTCACTAATGGAAAAAGTTGGGGGCAAGAGGCTCTTCAGCAAAAGGTTTAGCAGTTGTTCTTCCCAAACACCGTGACCAATGGACACGCTGTGGCGCGGAGCTCCACTCCCAAACACCCAGGGCTGCCGGACCAAGGGACACGCTGTGGCGCGGAGCTCCACTCCCAAACACCCAGGGCTGCCGGACCAAGGGACACGCTGTGGCGCGGAGCTCTACTCCCAAACACCCAGGACTGCCCGGAGCCAGAACCAACATGATGCCGCCTGGGAGGCGATGTCAATTTTGTTGTTATTGCCTATATTTTACTTGTTTCTTTGGTTTAAGACTGTTATAAGGATCAATGATATCATTTATGTAAAGCTCTCCTGTGTAATACTATATTTTTAAGTAATAATTATTCTTATTAAAAAGTTCAAAACAATATAATTATATAAAAGCAGCAGATTATTTAAATCATTTACAAGTACAAGATGATACTAGATGGAAACATGCACAAGTCATTTTAGAAGAATATTTAATAACATTAAAAAATGTTCATAATATATTATCACCTTTCAAAGAATAGGTAGCAAAGCAATATATACATTGTGATGTCAAGTTTGCTCAAATATGCTGGATAAAATATTGAAGTGAAAAATAAAATAGGTAATAGTGGCAGTCAGAGAAACTAGAAGACATTTTGACATTTACTTAGATTGTTTAATGTATGAGTAGTGGATTTTTGCCTGTCATTAATTTATAAATTGATAAGTACTTAAAATCATTTCTGTATATCTTTAAAAGACTCTTTTAAAGCAAATTTTATTATAAATTCAAAGAAAAATATTAAAGAGACATGCACCAGCATGCTGACATTATTTTTTGGAACAAAGAAAATATGAGTCATATTAATTACACTTTTGTTTTTTTCCAAATTTTTATACAAAATTTTCCAATCAAAAAAAGTATATAATGATTAAACTGTGACTATTATTAGTTTACAAATAAATTTATTAAGTGCTAACTATTATTTTGAAATAGAACAATACAAAAAGCATAAATATCCTCAAGTGGCAATACATCAAAGTTAAGTCTAAAGGGCTATGAACAGATGCCTTCCTGGGACAAATTTTAATGAAAATATAAGTTGGATAAAGATGTAACATATAAAGACAGAACATGAGAAACCGAACTTAAATAATAGTGACACTATATCTTGACCGTGCTTTATAATTTAAGAAATTTTACATATTATTGGCTTATTGAACCCCATAATAAGTGTGTGAGCCTAGCAGATATTATCTCACTTTTATAGATGAAAAAAATGAAGTTCAGAGAAGTTAGGTTTCCTAAGTTCAAGGTCACACACCTTATTAGTAAACAGAAGCTTAAATTTCAACCCAGGTAATCCAATTTGAATTTAGGGCTCATTTATGCTTACCACATATGTCATTTATTATTAAATTATAAAGTAGAGTTCTAGGATTCTAGAAGACTACACCCCTGGGGTGGGACACACCTAATTAAAGAGCCATCAAAGAGAAGTTGGGAAAGTGAAACAAGCTATTAACCTACACCAGGCAAGATGTGATCACAGATTGAACTCAGGACCTCTGTCTGAGTCATCTCTACTCTATCAATGACTTAAAGAATGATCTTAATTCAAGACCTTCAAAAGGGGAAATACTAAATTCTGCTTCCAGTAGAAGGAGAGGAAATGATCCAGGCAGTTTTCCAGGAAATATGACACCAGTCAGGCTATTTATCCAATAGTGAGACCAACTCTAGCTATAGCCTTAGAATAACAGAGTCAAGAGGCAGGATGGAGCACAAGACCCAAGGCATGGAACCGGTCTTAACAACTGATCAGTCCAGAAAATAAGGACAAAGAGAAGCAGGCTAAGAGGAGGAAGAAAATGTCTAGAAATGAAAGACAAAGATATCCGTTGTGTTTCAGGAAGGTAAAAAAGGGGTGTGAAAAATAAGAAAAGATTGGTCAGAGAACAGATCTTTGGCAAAAGCAGGAAAGAGCACTGTCAGGACAGGACAGACTGCAAGTCCAGATCGGCTCCTGAGCAGACCAGGCTCAATGCCCCAAGGGTAGCCAAAAAGGTAGTACTTGGAACATACACTTAAGAAGACCAAGAATTCCACAAAAGGCAACAATCACAACAGACCAAACTGGTATGTGTGTTCAGAATTCTCTGAGCTTATTTTTTTCACTTTTTGAAACATTCTTGGGATCCAGGCTGCCGCTGTAGTGACAGTACTTTGTTTCAATTTGACAGTCTATAGAACAGCAGGAGGACAGGGAGAAGGGAAAGTAAATACAAGATAGGAAAGTCTTGGGGTAGCTCTGAGAGATGGCTCTTCCCCTAGGTTGTTCTCTTCAATTTAGTAGAAAAAGGACTTAAACTACTAGATGTTCCCCAAGAGGCTAACTGCAGTCTTCCTTTAAGAAAAGGCAGCTAGGTCAGCTATAGGGACGAATCATGGAACCTGAAAAGGTCATAGAAATGATTAGTGCTCATGATCCCCTTTCCACTGGTTCTCCCTGGCTGGGCTAATGCTCTCCTCCACATTTCCACACTCGATGTGGACATTCGTTTTACTAAATGTTGTCATTCCACTTACTACTTACTATGTGGAACCATTTATGTACTGGTATATCTTCCCCCACCCACCCACTCCTAAACCATGAACTCCTCATATATGCCGTTTGCCCCCAGCCCATAACACAGAATGAACATTCTTGGCATGTCAAATGAATTATGAATGAATGAATGTACCAGATATACTATATGTACTTAATATATGTGCCAAGGAGAAGCAGGGAAATTACTAGGGAAGAACTGACCTACATGTAAAAAATAGCTAAAGTAGAAGGGAAACTGGAGGTTACTTGCAAATGCTGAGCTTTTCCCAAATGGTGGGGTTAGAGCCATAGGAAGGGGAGGCTCCAAAGATAACTTCATCAACATCAATTATATAGGGCCTGTAAGTCAGGTTGGGTAAGCTGCCAATGAAGGGTATAACAATAAGTGTAGGAGGCTAATATGAAAAGATAATATGGGGAGAGAGCAGAGTAAAGGCATTTGGAAGATGACATCATGGGAAAGGCAAGTACCCATTCCCCTAAAGTTAACTTTACTGAAGTACTAAAATACCATTCTGAACTTTTGCTGAATAATAAGCCCAACAAAGTGCAATAATACTACAATGTAAAACCCTAAAGAAGCATGTGCATTACACATAATAAAACATAAATTATACCTGAGATCTTCAATTTCTTTTATATAACTGTGAATCATATTACTGATCTCCTCATTCCCTTCACCTGCAAATTAAATATACAAATTAAAAATCTCCTTTAAGATTTCAACAAAATAGAATGGGGTGGATGGGAGGAGAATTTATGGAAACGAAATGATAATACAATGCTTTACAATTCTCACAGCTAATTTTCTTAGTATAATTACATAAGCACACAGTAAGATAACATGATAACACAAAGGGCATCATTTGTTTGCATAATAATTTATTATAAAATCTTTATACATTTAACTTAACATCAGCGACTGTATATATTGGGGGATTTCTGCTTCAAGTATTCTAGGTGATTATCAAACACAAGGCATGTTCTCTGCCCTCCAGAAGTGAATCTCTTGCCCATCCCACCGCGTACACATACCTGCTCTGGCAAGCACTTGATTGGCCTGATCACTGACAAGCTGTGTGATTCTGGTCCTCAAAGCATCAACCGTCTCTTGCATGGCTTTGATTCTGACACGCAGATTATTATTTTCAGTTTGCAGCATAGCATTTTCATGAAACATGTCATTGATGCTTTCCACACCCTCCTCGTCAATTATTCTTTTACCCTAAAGAAGGAAAATAGTTGCCTGTTGGTTGTTGAGGAGCCAAACATGCACACATGCTTGGTACAAGGACAAAACCAGTTTTGTAAGCAAAGAGTCATTGTACCTGACCAGCCCCAAGACAAAAGAGAATATTTTTCCTCTGTTACAAGCTTTTCTGAAGCATTTGTCCCTAACTAAATTGATTGGGTGGAAACCCTTTTAAAACAAGTGATTGGTAAAGTTGATAGACCAGATATTATTCAAGGTTAACCACAAGGAAAAACTTGAGAACCCCATCTCCCCACCAAATAGCAGCCACTACTGTGACAGTTAAGAAATTCCAAAGATACATACATATAAGCCATCACTGTGTTCACAAATGCTAGCCTTCGACATGCAAAGTCAAACCCATGAGCTTACTGTTCTGTACTCCATGACTTCCATCTGAAGGCGTGTGATCTCACTCCTGAGTGCGTTGATTTGCTGACTCGCTCTGTCTTGATTGACCATCACCTTGTTCTTGATATTTCTAGCTCGGTTGGCATATTTCAGGGTGTTTAAAGTTTCCATAAAATCTCTGTCTGAAGGGCTGACACATGCTATCATGATTGTTTGGCTGCAAGTTACAAAGTATAATTATGTTGACAGTATAAAAAATAAAACATTTAAAAGATATATTTTTAAATCCCTGTCCTTCAGATAGCATATTTTTCCTCAAGATTCTAAAAGATTGCTACTATTAAGTTAAAGAGAGAAAAGTATAGTCCCATACTAAAAGACAATTTTAAGGAAAAGTATGGGGTAATTCTAAACTGCCTTAGAGGGTTGCAAGTCATAATCAACTTATGTAACTCTAATAGGTATTGGTTTTTAGGTTTCTTTTTTTTAACTTGAAGTAAAATTAGAGAAAATGAATTTATATTATCCTTCTTTAACACAGAATATCTTAAGAAAGTATAAATACATATA